TTTTTTTTTATTGCTGATATTTCTTTAGCGGATGACCTTTTAAGGCTTGTTTTCCTCTCAATGCGTTTCTTTTTGTTAATGTAAATCTAATCTGAGGATCAATATATCTTTTAGAAGACTTTTTGTGAAAATCTATACTTTGTAATTTTCCTAAAAGAGTGTTAATGTGACTTATTTTTGTACTAGAATTTTCATGTTTTTGCGAGAGAGCTGATAGACCTTCCAGGATTGATATTTCTTTTTCATTTTCTTGCGAGAGAGCTGATAGACCTTCCTGGATTGATATTTCTTTTTCATTTTTTTGCGAGATAGCTGATAGACCTTCCTGGATTGATATTTCTTTATCAGCACTATCAATAGAACCGATTATTGGACCATCTTCTGTTTTCTTATTACCAAATGCTGCTATTACTATATGAATATGTTTACACATAGCCTTCCGCTCTTTATAGTAATTGCACTCACAAGAAAACATATGACTACATGTGTCACAAAACAAGCATATTTGTTGACAGCATTTTGACTGTAATACCTGATTAATAGTATAATACGAACTACTATTTCCATTTTTAAAAATTATCCAATTTGTACGATTTTTTGATAAAACATATTCATTCCTAGTTTTCAGTGCTTTTTGGTGATTCTGACATAATAACCTTGTTTGTTTAGTATGTTCACTTTTGACTAATCTGATGATCCTTTCAACACTTTTATCACGAACATACTTTAATACAGCGTTTAAACCTTTATCCAGGCGTTTTACAGTTTTTCTATCCAAGTAAAAATATTTTATAGTTTTGTGCATAGATTCCAAATGCATATTAGTGTTAATGATAGAATCTCCTCTAAAACAGTAGGCCCATTTTCTAAAATTGTGGCTATAAGTATTGGTAAAGTATTCACCAAAACATGTCGTTTTTTCGTTGTTATGCATGTAACTTAGAGCATCGTCTAAAGCTGAAGCAAAATTTGCTTCGGATGTTTCTTGCTGTAAATTTTTTAATATTTTGTATATTTCCGCACGTTTGTCTTTGTCAGCAATTTTACTTAAATTGTTCTGCCATGCCCTGTCAACGTGCCAAGAGCAATATAAATGTTAAGGACAAGGTAGTTCCATCAGCCCAAACCACGCATTGAAAAATACTTCAGCCATATCTGACATAAAAAATTTAGAATTAACTGCTCCGGAAAAAAAACTTTGAAGAGTTTTTTTAGGATATAAAGCCCCCACAGACTTTGCTCCTTTTCAATAGTTCTGAACGGGTATGAACCGTCGAGTAAAACACTCGAAACAAAGTATGTGGGGGCATTTAGGATCGAAATCAATCTAAAAAATATTTATTTAAAATTGTAAGAAAATAGTTTAAATAAAATATACATTGTTTTTGCATTCAGCTTATTTCTACGCTTCGATAAATTGAATGTTTTACATACCTACTGACTTCTTTATTGCTGAAAAGAAAATACTTTGCACTACGGTATCTTTCCTATTTGTAAACATTTCAGCAACAGGAAACCCATGATGGTATTCATCTAGTACCATAATGGTTGTTAGTTCAAAGTCGTACCCATTCAGCCCATGGGTACTATCAATGGTTATTGTATATGGAAATTGTTGAATCATTTGTTTTTGGAACGTGTTCATTACTATTAAACAAAAATCGTCTTTTTTTTAAATATCATGCTCATTTCCTTGTGCTTTATAGAATAAAATTGGGTTATCTTTGAGACGTTCACATTCTCGTACCCAAAGTGCTACAGATAAAGCATCATTTGAGTCTCTCTTGCCATCCTTTATCTCAAGACCATAACTGCTTTTGGATGTCTTTTAATGTCAACAAATCTATTCGCTTCAAATGCGCCCCAATATCATCTCGTGTATATTCTAAAATTCTAAAATAAGGGGTTTGGTTTAATATTTTGTTAGTTAAATAATAATTACAAGAATATAATCGTAAAAATAAAAATAACATTTTTCGGTAATTTTAAGCATATTTCACCGATGGCCAAATTTATGTGGAAGTATGTATAAAACCGACCTATTTGTATAGGTCAATTGATATGATTAGTACGTACCTTTGAGATACAACACCATTTATAATCTTTGGGGCAACATCTTGTTTTTCTCTCTGTGGCAATCTAATGTGTTGTATCTCAACCTTATGACCATAATGGACTTTTTGCCATTGTACAACAACTTTGTTATTTTCTTTCATCACTTTGATCTCACTAGTACAAGCACTACTCATCTTACATGATCCGGCACTTTTTAATAATCTACTTCTTTGATCATTCGATTTAAGAACATGACCTAAAATCAAAACCGTCCATAAAATTAAATCAGCACAGAAAATGTATAATTAAATGAATCGTTTCACGATGATAAAAAAACCTAACATCATACTTACTTATTTTACTCCTATTACACTTATAAGACACTATTTCGTTAACAGTACTTGCATGTCTACTTTTGAAAACATAGGAGCATTTGTTGAAACATTCAATATTGGATTTCCAGCTCTCAAAATCTAAAAACAAAAGGTTATAACTTGGTAATCTTGATTTTATTGACATAATTAAATAATTGCAGATCAACAGCCTTGCTAAAATTGCAAATGTAGAATTCATATTTCCCATGGCAAGGCTCTCTATTTCAAACTTCATTGAATTAATTAATCTCAAATGGTCCATTAAATCTTTATTAGTTTTAAATGCGTTGTCACAATCCGATT